CTACCCACTGAGCTATGGGTGCTGCCAATGATGGTTTTTTGTTTTTTGTTTTTGCGGTTTTTGGCTGGGGCTTGGTTTGAACCCACCACCTCCGGCATGTGGGGCTGGCGACCTACTCCTTTGAGCTACAGGCACCACCTGATGATGGGGGTTTTAATGAGACTTGAGAGGGTCAGGCCAGAGCCCAGGTGCCCGAAAATGAAGCTGGTGGGGAACTTGGATTTCCTTCTGGGGTGATGGGCATGGGGCGGGACCTGAGTTGAGTTGGCCTCACAGGCCTGTTGACTCAGCACAATGCCTGTGAGTCAGTGCGTGCCCCTTCTTACGCAATTTTTGTCTTTTTCTCTGCCCAACCCCTACTCTGCCCCTATACTGAATGAGGCCTAGAATCACTGAGACACAGGTTTCCATTTCAACGCTTCCTCTAGAAAACCCCCACCAAGTCACTGTTCCTCTCTAAGTTATGCAGTTGCACTCATAATATGGACAGATATGTCCCCTCCCGGAGAGGGGCTGAACCCATTAGATGGAAATGACATTGCATCCTCAGCTCCAGCTCCTTGGGACTGGGCTTGGCTGCCAGCCTGGGCTGAGACAGATGTTATTGCTCATACCTGCCCCTGGTCAGTCATTCAACATTCGTTCTTAGCTCTTCATGCTTCTCCCTTTTCTTTGATGCTCCTTCTCTATCTCTTCTGCCTCTTCCTCTTCCAGCCTTTAAAAATCATCCTTGAGGCTGGGCACCATGGGTCACACTTGTAATCCCAGCACTTTGGGAGACCAAGGCTAGACAATTGAGACCAGAAGTTAGATAGGTACCAGCCTGGCCAACATAGTGAGACAGCCTCCATCTGTACAAAAAAAAAAAAAAAAATCCTTGAAATCAAGGTAGACAAAAATAAATTAATTAATAAATAATAGTTTTATTTATATATTTGTTTGTTTGGTTATGATAAAGTTTCACTCTGTCACCCTGGGTAGAGTGCTATGCTAATCGTCATAGCCCCCCAGCAACCTCAAACTCTTGGGCTCAAGAGATCCTCCTGCCTCAGCCTCCTGAATAGCTGGGACTACAGCCCCCTACCCCTACGATGCCTGGCTAGTTTTATTTTTTCTGGTTTTAGTAGAGATGGGGTCTCTCTCTTGCTCAGGCTGGTCTTGAAGTCCTGAGCTCAAGCCATCCATCCGTTTCAGCCTTCCAGAGTGCTAGGATTACAGGCATTAGCCACCTGTCCTGGCCAATAAATAATAATTTTATTCTTTTTGAGACAGAGTCTATGTCACCCTTAGTAGAGTGCCATAGCATCACAGCTCACAGCAACCTCAAACTCTTGAGCTCAAGTGATCCTTCTGCCTCAGCCTGCCAAGTAGCTGGGACTACAGGCACTGGCCACAATGTCTGGCTATTTAAATTTTAGAGATGAGGTCTAGATTCTGAGCTCAGGCAATCCACCTGCCTTGACCTCCCAGAGTGCCAAGATTACAGGTGTGAGCCACTGTGCCCAGCCCATAAAATTATTATTTTAAAATAATAATTTCTAAAAATCATTCATAATATCAATGATGACTGGTATAGCCACTCAATGAGATATTACTCAGCCATAAAAAGGAAGGGAGTACTGATCCATGCCACAACATGGATGAACCTCAAAAACATGATGTTGAATTAAATGAGCCAGACACAAATGGCCACATACTGCATGATTTTGTTTATATGAACTGTCCAGAATAGGCAATCTATAGAGGCAGAAAGTGGATTACCGGTTGCCAGGGGCTGGTGGAAGAGGGGAGAATGGGAAGTGACTGCTAATGGGGTTTCCCATTTGGGATGACAAAAATGTTTTGTAACTCCAACAGATATGATGGCTGCACACCACTGTGAATGTACTAAGTACCACTGAATTGTGCATTGTAAAAGGGTCAATGGCTAATTTTATGTTATGTGAATTTTTCCTCAATTGTTTTTAAAAAATCGTAAGAGGAAATCATTAATAGATGTGAAAAACAGTGGGTAAAAGTGCAATGGAGCTGGGCGTGGTGGCTCACGCCTGTAATCCTACAACTCTAGGAGGCTGAGGTGAGTAGATTGCTTGAGCTCAGGAGTTTGAGACCAGCTTGATCAAAAGCAAGACCCCGTCTCTATTAAAAATAGAAAAAAAAAGTGCAGCTGGGTGTTGTCGTGGGCTCCTGTAGTCCCAGCTACTTGGAAGACTGGGGCAGGAGGATTGCTTGAGTCTAAGAGCATGAGGTTGCCATGAGCTATGATGCCCAGGACAATAGAGTGAGACCCTGTCTAGAAGAAGAAGAGGAAGAGGAGGAGGAAGAGGTAGAAGTTGTTTAGTGGGCACCAGGATATTCACATAGTCTTAGAGTGTCTCCTGATGTGATACTTTTTCTTTATAAAAGGAGAGGATGGGCTGGGTGCCTGTGGCTCAAGTGGCTAAGGCGCCAGCCACATACACCTAAGGTGGCAGGTTCGAATCCAGCCGGGGCCCACCAAAACAATGAAGGCTGCAACCAAAACAAAACAGCCGGGCGTTGTGGTGGGTGCCTGTGGTCCCAGCTACTTGGGAGGCTGAGGCAGTAGACTCACTCGAACCCAGGAGTTGGAGATTGCTGTGAGCTGTGATGCCACAGCATACTACCCAGGGGGACAGCTTGAGGCTCTGTCTCAAAAAACAAACAAACAAACAAACAAACAAACAAAACGCGGAGGATAGAGTGGCTGTAAATGGCACCTTTACAGTGGAGAAACTTGGCCAACATGACCTCAGTGATCAAAGTTGAACACCACCAATGTTGGGTACTAACATTAGGTATCTCTTGATATGATGCACTGGGGAGGATCAACATTGCTTTTGTGGTTTTGGCCAAAGATGTACAACCTGAACCTGGTCACTAGGAACCAGCAGGCCAGCTGGCTGATGGACATTCTTCACAACAACTGACTTCAATTCTCCAAAAAATGTCATTGTCATGAAAGAGAAGGAAAGGCTGAGGAACTGACTTAAATTACAGGAGACCAAGAGACATGATGATTAGTTGTGACATGTGGTCCAGGATCAGATCCTAGACCAGCAAAGAAACATGATGAAGCATATTGGCGAACTTTGAATGCGGACTGGATTGAAAACAGTAGTGTTGGCTTGGCGCCTGTGGCTCAATTGGCTAAGGCGCCAGCCAAGTACACCTAAGGTGGCGGGTTCGAATCCCCAGCCCGGGCCCGCCAAACAACAATGATGGCTGCAACCAAAAAATGGCCAGGCGTTGGGTGTGGCGGGCACCTGTGGTCCCAGCTACTTGGGAGGCGGAGGCAGGAGACTCGCTTGAGCCCAGGAGTTTGAGGTTGCTGTGAGCAGTGAAGCCATAGCACTCTACCCAGGGGGATAGCTTGAGGTTCTGTTTCAAAAAAAAAAAAAAAAAAAAAAAAAAAAAAAAAAAGAAAAAGAAAACAGTAGTGTTTATGTAGGAGAATGTCCTTGTTCTTAGGAAACATAGTGAACTATTTAGGGGCAAAGGAGTATCCTATCTACAACCTGTTCTCAAATAGTTCAGCCAAAGAAATGCATATACACATATGCATATCATATACAATTATAAGGCAAATGTGGCAAATTGTGGGTGATTGGTGAGTCTAGACACAAGACTTATAAAAGTTGTTTGCATTATTCTGCAACTTTCTGTATTTAAAGTTATTTCAAAGTAAAAAGTTAAAAAATTGCTTAAAGATTTCTGGGTCAAGCACGTGACTGTCTCCCACGCAGACAGCTCTCCTAGGCTCAGCCCTAGCATCCAGCTGCCTTGTGGGTGACCCCCTTGGACTCAGCACCAAGCAACTCTTCTCCTAGCAGTCTCATTACCAAGCCAGAAGCCAGGAAGTTAGCTTGACCTCTTTCTCCTCCTGTAACCTCTGGCCTGGACACTCTCTCACAACTCTGTCCCCTCATCTGGGTGCAGGATAGTCCCTTTGCTGAGATGTCTTTCCTCCAGCTCATCTTTCAGAGCTAAGACACACTAGAGCCCCCTCTGGGAAACGCTCTCTAGAGAATGTAAGGCATACCTCCAGTCCCCAGAGCCAAATACAGAGCTGGAGATTTAGCGATACTTTTTGACTATATGAGTGAGCAAAATAAATAACCCTTCCAGGTAGACTCCTTATCAGCTACTCTGGTGCTCTTTCCAGACTACATAACTCCATCTGGCCCAGCCCTGAGCCCTCTGTGCTGGAGGTGACTGTCCTGCTTTTTCTTCTCCACATTTGGGAGAAGTCCCTCCAGGACTGAACTTGGTGTCTCTCAGGGTTCCCATTCTCCCAGCAGGGACAGAGCGGGCTGCAGGAAGGTATTGCAGCAGGACACAGTTGGGAAAAGGCAATTGATCAAATTGAGCAGTATTGGCTGAGTGACAAAGCTTTGTGGGGTATTGAGTTGGGCTGGGGGGCTAGGGTGGACCTTTGAGAGTAGCACAGGGTACTACGTGTTCACACACACATGCATGAGACTTACAGTGCGTTTCTGAGCTTTGAGGCTGCAAATGCCCCCGCTACCCCAGACTCCCAGCCTGGTTGAGCCTGCATTTCAGGTTTGCAAGTGTTTCAGGTGGTAGAGTCCCCATGAAGCTTTGTGCATGGGTCTGCATTTGTGCGTTGGTGGCTGTGTGTTCATGTGCCTCTCAGGACGTGCCTGGCCTCAGTTTTGAGGGTTTTTGGGATCTGTGTTTTCCTTCTGGCTCTCTGCACGTATAGAAGGGTGGGGGTGTGGGGTGCTCACAAAGCTGGATGTGCCGCATCTAACTCCATGGAAGGCCTGGCTTTCCGAGGGTCCTAGGTTCCCAGGCTATGCGGGAGGACTGTGGGTAGGGACCCCAGGCGAGCCGCTGAGGGCTGGGGGCGGGGCGGCCCGGCTGCCTCAGTTCGGCGAAGTTGGCGGCGCGGAGGCTGGCCCGGGACTCGCCCAGAGCCCAGGGGAGGAGGGAGAAGGGGAGGGTCGCGGCCGGCCGCTATGGGGCCGGGGGCCCGGGGCCACCGCCGCCGCCGTCGCCCGATGTGGCTGCCGCTGCCACCGCCGCCCATGAGGGCGCTGCCCCTGCTGCTGCTGCTAGCGGGGTCGGGGGCTGCAGGTGAGGGGCCGGGACCCGGCGGACGGGGTAGGGGCGGGGATGAGGAAATGCAAAGCCCCCCAAGTCCGGGGCTGGGCACGGGGATCCTGGGAGCCAGGGATCAGAGTCCGAGCAGGAGCCCGGAGCTGCGTGCTAGTCCTGCGGGGGAGTTCCAGAGTCTCATAAGGGTGAGGACTCCAGAGGCCCCTGAGCGATCGGGGCTGTAGAGGAAGGGATCCAGGAGTTCGTGACTTGGAGCTCGAGGTGCGGGAATCAGAGACTCAATGTTCGGGGTGTGGAGGATACTAAGACTCCCGGCTCACCCCTATCCCGTTCCCGCCTAGAGTCTTAGAAAAGTTGTTATTGGGGCCCAAGTACCTCTAGGCCGGCGACCCCTCGCACAAAAGCTTCCCCCCTCCCCCAGACACCCCCGGGCGCGCTGGACCGGGCGGGGGGCGGGGAGGGGCGCGAAGTTCTTGGAGCTCAGAACTCAGAGAAAACTTCCCAGGCCGGAGCGCGGTAAGACCCGGAGCCGGATATGGATCTGGAGCCACTGCGGTGCCGGCGTTTCCCCCCCGCCTCCCCGTCCTGCTTGCTCCACGGCCCGGGGGGACCAGGTAGCCCCGGAACCCCGCCCCTGCTCGGAGAGGGGAAGGGGAGAGGGCCAACGTGCTCCCCTTCGGCTTCAGCACTCAGTCTCCAAGGCCAGAGCCCCTCCCCAGCCGGCCAGGCCCCTCTGCCCCTCCTGCTCTCCTCTCTCCCCTCCCCCGCTCGGGACAATGGCAGCGCCGTCTAGACACCCCCTCCCCCCGGCCAGCCTCGCGCTTTCTTTGCCAGACAAAGCAGGACCTGCGGCTGGGCCAGAGCGGGGGGCTGCGGGGGCGCCCCCCACCGCCACTGGAGGCCTGGTTGGCGGGGGAGGGGCGGGGACCGAGAGCCCTGGCCAAGGGTCCTGGGCGCAACTCTGGGCAGGGATGGGGTTGCGGGAGGGAATGGGAGGTAGAAGGGGTAGGAGCGGCTGTCCCCGCCGGACCAGCACATTCAGACATGGCCTGTCACACCCTCAACTGGCATGCACAAATACAGAGATGCAAACATGCACACACACACACACACACAGACATAGCTCATTGCAAGATGTGCAGGCAGCTCACACTTGACATGCACATACACAGTCAAATATGATCACACATCACGTGCATCTCTAGCCCAAGGCCTGGCACACATGCAGCCTGCACACACTCAGACACTTACAGGCACAGATTCAAGGACATGCCTACTTCTAACTCACATGTGTAGAAAGACAGGGACATCTAACCTATACACACACACCAGTGCACACACAGGTCACACAGAGCTGTACACCCAGATATATGGTTCACTGAGTACATAGATGCATAACACATGTAGCCTGGATACATACAGCACACACATCTGAACCCTCTGCATGGGGGGGGGCTTCACATACTCAGCCACAATCACACTGACATGCATGTGCAGACTCATATTTAGCTCCACAGGTACACAACAGATGCATGCCCAAGCACACAGGAAGAGTGACACAAGCACATAAATGAGTGTATAGCCCATGTCACAGAACCTCCTATGTGCGTTCACAAACTTCCACTGTCTGTAGGGGACAGTGTCCTTCCTGTCCACTTGTCCCAAGAAGAAGGGAATACATGCCATGTGGGCCCATTCTCATGTCTAGTTTAATTCATCTGTCTCTCACTATCTCCCTTTCTATCTCTGCCTTTCTCCTTTTCCTTCACTCTGTCTACCTGCTTCTAGTTTCCTCTTTTATGTCTGTCTCTGTTTTTCTCAATCTCCCTCCATCTCTCTCTGACATACACACATGCACTGTGGACCCACACCAGCCCACAAACACCATTCTCCACTAGCTCAGACCCAGCCACAACTCTGACCCTTCTGGTAGGACAGTTAGACTATGCCATACTTCAGAGGGACATAGCCCTTAGGGATGGCAGTACTGGACAGGGCAGCACATGTCTTGTGCCAGCTGCCCCTCCCTTCAACACACATCCTATCCTGCAACATACAATGCTCCTGCCCCTGGAAATTCTGTGCTCACTAGTGGTTCATGCCTCAGCCCTTTTCCCAAGAGTCTGCCCAGCTGGAGTACATGCCTGACTTCAGGGGAAGGAAGACCTTTCCTTGAATTCTAGGCTCTAGAATTCAAATTCTCTCTGCCTCTCTCCCCCCCCACCCCGTTACCCCGTGATCTGGGCATGAAGCCCCAGACCTCCCTTTAACACTCACTTTCTACCTTGGCACCCCCTCCATTCTGTACATCTTGGTTCTGGCAGCTTCATGAGCCCCACATCTGGCACAAGTCAGCCCCTCCTCCTGCCCGCCCCTGCCTTGTGGTTCCCAGGGCTGGAGCTGGCAGGGACAGCTGCAGCCCCAACAGCTGGGGCTGAGGTGGGGGGGCCGTGGGAACCATGGGTGGGGGGGCTTATTGCACCCACAGAGACACCCCCAGTCCAGTGCAGCTGTTGCCTGGTGGAGGCTGGGAGGGGGTCTGTCAGGGGTTCCTCGGCACCTGGCTGACCACCACCCCAACCTTCCTTCACACCCACACAGCCCCCCCTTGCCTGGATGGAAGCCCGTGTGCAAATGGAGGCCGTTGCACCCAGCTACCCTCCCGGGAGGCTGCCTGCCTGTGAGTGCCTGGCGCAGAGCCATCAGTGGGCCCTGTGTGGGGAGGCGGTTTGTCTTCCTCTGCTTCTGTGTCCAGCATGGATGTCTTTACCACTTCCTACATGTGTGTGGCTTGGGGAACCTCTTGTGTTTCCCTATCTGAAATTGAGTAGGGGCTCTGGAGTCTGCCTGGCCTGGGTTCAAATTCCACGTCATATTGCTGACTGGCTGGGAATTAAACCCTTTAAGTTTCAGGGCCCTGGTCTAGAAAATGGGCTCAGTAATCCCAACTTCAAAGAGTTTTTGGCCACCTAAAGTCATATGTTAACCCCTCCCCCACCATGAGACAGGTATTATGCAATCAACAAACTTTCAGGGACCAATGGCAGTGGATGGGCAGGGGTGAGGACACCACTGACACCCTCCCTTATCTCAATATTCAGTGTGAGTGGGCACAGGATGTGTATAATACAGTCCTGCTCTTCCACTTTCTTGCTGGGTGATTCGGGCTAGTTACTTCCTCTCTCTGAACCTCACTGTGTCTCCGAAATAGTGCATCTCCCTGGCTTGTGACTGTGAAAAGAGAAAGGGCTTGCAAAGAGCTGAGCTGAAGCAGACAGAGCTCTGTTTGTTTGTTTTGCAGTTTTTTTTTTTTTTTTTTTTTTGGCTGGGACTGGGTTTGAACCTGTCACCTCCGGTATATGGGACCAGTGCCCTACTCCTTTGAGCCACAGGTGCCACCCCAGAGCTCAGTTTGAATTCTGGGTTCTGAGACATGCTGAGCTAGTGCTTCAAGCTTTCCTAGCCTCAGTTTTTGCATCTGGAAAATGGGCCAGTAATAACTCCTTTCGGGTTAATTAGAAGACTCTTCATACGATGTGCTCAGCATACTGCTCAGCATACATTAAATGCTCAGTAAATAAGTATTATTATTATAAATAATGATGGCGGCACACAGGAAATAAGAACTCCAAGAGGGAACATTTCAAGGTTATGGAGAAATGCTTAACTCCTTTTATGCTATAATTAGTAATAGCAGTACACCCAGCAACCATTACTTAATGCAACATTTATTCAACATTATGTGTGCAGGCACTGGATGAGATCCCAAGCTGGATGGGATCTGGGGTGACTTTAGACCCAGAGGATCTCCTTTGAAATTACACACTCGCACTTGGCTGGAGCCCCACTTAGGCTTATCTGTGTGGACGGCTAAGCGTGGCTGGTCGGGTTGTTTCTAGGGGAGGAGGTCTGCAGGTCTGCGATTGTCGGGCTGGGGGAATGTGACCTTACCAAGCGCCACTCACCTAGGCGCCTCCGCACTGGGGCCGGGCGCCTGCGCAGTGCAGCTCCGCGCCTGGACTACTGCCGACAGGTGAATGCGCCCCCGGGTGCCCCGCCCTCCCCAACAGGTGAATCACCGGCACGCGCGGCTCCCGGAGCCTGGATCACCCGGAGTGGAGCGGGCTCTGTCCCCAGAGTTGGGCTGTGGGAATCGCTCCCTACACCGCCCCCCCATCCGCTTTTCCAATCTCTTTCAAGGTGTCAAATATTCACGTCCTTTCGAGGATGCCCCAAACTCTCACCCCACCTATGGACACCCCACGTCTCGTCCCCAAAGTAGGCTCCTGAGCTCTTATCCCTCTCTCCTAGTGCTCATCTCCCTGGCTACATCCCCGCAAGCCTGCGTTTTCCCCTCGTTCTCCCCCAAAGTTCAGGCCTTGGGGCGGGGCGCGGCGCGGGCTGGTGCTGGAACCGGCCCGACCGGTCGCCGGGCGCAGAGCGTGGGAACCCGCCCGGGGCGTCGGGAGGGGGCAGCGCGGGTAGCGCCCTGTCTTGGAGGTGGGACCTGTAGTCCTCCACGCCCAGCGCAGAGCGCCCCCTCCCGGCCCACGGTCATGGTTGCCCTGCGGGCCTTTGGGGAGGAGGCTGAGAGCTGGGCCCTTCCTGCCTAAAGACACCCGCACCCCAGCTCCGCCATGCCCTGACCTGTTTAGCTGAGGGCCAGGGTGGAAGGGGAGGGGATCTTGTGGGTGATGCTAAAGACTGAGTCACTTGCTTGAGTTCAGTCCCAGGCTCTGGGACAATCCAGAGGGAGGGGACTGACCCCAGGGGTAGGGGAAGAAGGGTGGGATGAGGGTAGGCAGCGACGGGGGCGGAGCGTGGATCCTCTGGAGATTTTCTGTCTTAAAACAACCCTTCCCAAATCTTATTTCTCCCCACTCAAAGGCTGCCGTGGTGGACTTGGGAAGGGAGCTGCAGGTTGTAGGGCCATCCTCCAAGATAAAGGCATCAACCATGGGAGGCTGTATGTGTCCGAAGGACTATGGGAGTCTTTGCATCTGTCTGTGTGAGAGTTGCCCATATCAGTGTGGGAGGTTGTGAGTTAGTTCCTTGATTGTTTGGCAATTCAAAGGATCTAGTTGGTATGTCCTTCTGTGTGTGCCTGGCTGGTAGACTTTTCATTTGCTATTCCCTCCACTTGGAATCCTCTTCCACACACACAGTCCCACGGCCCCCTCCTTACTTTCTGTCAGTGAAAATATAATACACATCTCCTCTCTCCACCCTTTTCCCATCGTTCTATTCCTCTTTGTTTGTCTATTAGTTTTCTGTAACAAATTACCACAAATTCTCTAGCTTAAACAATAGGAATTTATCCTCTTGCAATTCTAGATTTTAGAATTCTGAAATTAAAGTGTTAGCAGGGCTGAGCTCTCTCCAGAGGATCCAGGGGAGAATTCTTCACTACCTTTTCTGGCTTCTGGTGGCTCTAGGTGTTCCTTGGTTTGTGGCTACAAGTTTCCAATCTCTGCCTGTTTCTGCATGGCTTTTTCTTCATTCTCTCTCACAAATACCCTTCTGTCTCTACTCTTGTCATTGGATTTAGGCCCCACCTGGATAACTCAGGACAATCTCTTATTGACAGGTCTCTGTCAATAGGAATATAGCAGTAAACACAATAAAAGTTGTCTCTACCCTCAGGATCTGCACAGCCAGGTCCAGACAAAGAGAATATATACAAATGACAAATTAATATACATGACAGATCTCTTATTGACTGTCAATAAGAGATTGTCCTGAGTGATCTCTGCAAAGATCCTTTTTCTTTTTTCTTTCTTTCTTTTTCTTTTCTTTTCTTTTTTTTTTTTTT